TTCTGAATATTATGTTCATTAAAAAGAAACATTTTGGAGCCATCTGCCTTGAGGAACCACATGACAGAAGTGGCAGCACAACAGACCAACATAGGATTGCAAACTGATTTCCAACCTGCTTTTAACACAGACTTAACTCCAGAAAAGTATTAGTGTATAAATATTTTACTTAAATATTAAGTGTCACAGGTCTAATTTTCAAGAAGTAACAACCTATCCACTTAAACATTCCCTCCACCTGCAGAGGCCAAAAGAATTTGGTTAATATCACAGAGGAGCAGCTTACAAAATTAAATGTTGTAAATTATCTAATCTCCTGCTTCAGGGTAAAGCTGATTTCCTGTACTCATCTGATAGGATATTTCACCCAATAAATGGCATTGCACCTTACACCTTGGACATTGTGCCTATGCCCTCAACTCACACTGGATTCAGCCCCAAATGTATTACAGGAGTAGGCTTTACCTTCTTCTGAAGGATCAGTTATTAGTCACCGCCCCAATTTAGATGCCATTCTTGATGATCTACTGATCTCTTTCAGTGTGGCAAGTCCATTCCTAAAAACCAGTGGTTTGTTTTTCTCCAAATTTAACAATCTTGAGTTAGCAACATTTCCCCCCTCCCCCTCCAAAATGATACATGCCAGCTCCAGCAGAGAGGACATTTTTATAGCATAGTTTAAGCTTCTAAAAATATACCAGACTTTGGCAGCACTTGATAGGAGTGGCAGTAGACCTCCTTCTAACAAGTTTCATTCAACAGTTATGCTGTTAAACTATTTGAGACTAGTAAAAGTTGTTTCAATAGAAACAGCTAGTGCACATCAGGGTGAAGGATCTTTCTGTTCACCTGACTAGTGTATGAAAAGGGCAGAGAGTCTAACTACCTGTACTTCTGAACAGCCCATCACCACAATACCTAAGCTGCAAGATTCAGAATCGCTGCAAGTTACATCCAAAGTAGGATTAAATCCTTTGCACTCCCCTTGTTAACCACTATTTAATATCCTTTTAACCTTTCTGCTTTTAAAGAATGTAATGTTACCTTAAACATGGGACTACATTCAAAAATATGGGTGCAGAAGCTGAAGTTATTGTGAGTGATCACTAAGAAATGGTTAGATCCAAGGTTGTCAGGACTTCTGTGTTATATTTATGACACTCACTAATTCACTGTAAGACTACAGGCCAATCATGTAACTCCTCTCTGCTATGGTTTCCCCACATGCAAAACTTGGGATAATGGTACTTTCCACCTGCATAAAGCTTTGCCAGTTTTTTAGAGAAAAGATGGTAGAGAAGTACAAAACACTACTTCACATACTCTGTTTCATTCTGTACCATCATTTTCTACCTGGATTTTGTGCCATCATTTCAAATGCCAACTAAATTCATCCTTGGCCTAAATGGCGGCAACATGCACCCTCTTTGGTTTGGAAGTGAACCTGAGCCAGTAACGTGCGCACCCAAACATATTACCTTTCCATAAGCCCTCTACTTTTCCATTAGTCTCGGTCACTGTTACCAACACCATCCTCCCCAGTGCCCAAACCCTGTCTCTGGCCCTTCATATCTGGGTCCTGACCAACTTCTGCTGCTTTACTTTACAACATCTCCACATACAGCCTGCGCACTGGTGTGATTACTGTTAACCTCTCCTTCTCCAAATCTGCACAGCTATAATCTCTCCCCCTCCAGGTCATCCAGAACGCCGCTGCCAAGACCACGTTCCTCTGTGACCGCTATAATCATCTCCTTACCTTGGACGCCTCCTTTTCTACCATATAAAAGTTCAAGCTTCTTCTCCTCACCTTCAAAACTGTCCTTAACTCCAGCCCATCATCACCTCCGGTGACTATGCTCCTGCAAAGCTGCTTTCCTGGCCATTTCCTTTCTTTCATCCCTCCCGCTACACCCAGAACAGGCTCATAATTAACACTGGCCAATCTCTCTCTCAGGGCACGTCTACACTACAGCAATACAGCTGCATCTCCATAGTGTAGACACTTCCTGTGTCGATGGAAGGTTTTTCCATTGACGTAGGTAATCCACCTCCTTAAGGAGCAGAAACTAGGTTGACAGAAGAATTATTTTGTCGACCTAACTGCATCTACCCAAGGAATTAGGTCAGCTTAGCCATAGTGCTCAGAGGGTGAATTTTTCACACCAGGAGTGACCTAGCCAGGTTGCTCTAAATGTTAAGTGTTGACCAGGCCTTTGCTCTCAAATTATACACTTAGACTTGTTTATAAAACTCACTACCTGTTTGCGCTGTGTTGTGCCATCCCAGATGGCAGATTGTCACTTCCCAGGAGCAAGGACTTACTCCCCTGGCAGAGTTCATCTACTGCCCAGCTTCATGTAGACTCCTGCTGGGTAATACTATTTAAGCTAAACTTGCACGCAGTTAGCCCCAGTTAAAAGAGCATTTCTTCATTCACAAATAAACACAGCTTCAGAGAAGACTCATAGTTGAAAATGAAGAGATGTCCTGAAATATTTATCTTCACCAGGCTCTGTTCATGAGAGAAGGATGTTGAGGGATCTTAATAAGAGAGAGTATTCAATTAGACAAGTGAGTTAAAGGAAAAGGCAGCAAGTAAGCCCCAGTTTCAAACTATGACTATTTCAAGTCATCGTTGACAGTTGGATAGAAGGAACACTAGCACCCACTTAGACAATGTGCATTAGTTAATAGAATCTCTCTGAGTAGGAGTCAAATCAGCTGCCTATGCCAAGCTAAGGAGATGCTCTTTACCGTAAATAGGCATTCAGCCGTCGAATTCTCTTCATATAGATAGACAGATGGTCTGACAAGTTAGGTCCAGACACATCTCATAAGCATTAAATGAACATCCGGGTTCGAAACAGAATTTCCAGCACACACACACAAGAAACACCAAAATTATTAGCATAAAGTAACCCTCCATGGAAACTATTCAATCTGCTGAAATACATCTCAAATTAACATGTTAGAAATCCCATCCCATGCCTGAGGCCAATGTCCCAAATGTTCCCTCGCCCACAACCGGCACCCTTGCCTCTCCTGCCAATCCCCACCCACCCCGCAATGGGCACCTTCACCTCCTCTGCCAATCCTTATCACCACCACCACACAACCAGCACCCACGCCTCCTCTGCCAATCCCCCCACAGAATAAGTATAAAATTAAAGAATTAAAGTTAGCTTAAGTTTGGTTAAACGTGTGTGTGTGTGCGTGGTAAAGAAGGCCCCAACCAGCAAGTGAAAGAAGGCTGTAAAAACAATAAGTAGTATTACTTGTAGTGTGGTTGTATGGTTTCAAAAGTAATAAAATAAAGAGCTACAGTAACAAAACAAAAAGTGTCTTAAAAGAAACAAGCCCAAACCTTCCCTCTGTTCTGCTGTGGGGGAGGCGGGGTAGGGGGGGTGCTGGGGTTGGTGGTGAAGATAAGAAAGGAAAGGCCTTGTGAACAAAGGAGACTATAAAAATTATCTGGATTAAGACTAGAAATAAGGGTGAACTGTCTCAAATTGGTTTTTAATTGAAGTCAGTAATTGGTGATGACATCACTTGTTTGTTAAAGAGTATAAAAAGTAAACTCTAAAAGGGGTTCATTGCTAAGACCTGCCTGACCACTTTGGAGCCGACCAATATGTGTCTAAACACCCCTAGGTTTAGCCCATTTGTAAATATCTTGATCAAATGCTTATAAATGTTTTGTTACTGTTTGGATGTAGTAACTTGCTTTGGATTTAATAAAGGAATTGATGGTTAAATTAGTGTTTGGTGGTTTCTTATATCAGTATTAATAATTTCAAATATTATTACCACCACCACCATCTCCTCTACCAATCCCCACGCACCCAAACACGGGCCCCCTCACCTCCTCTGCCGAGCCCCCTCTACCGATCCTTACGCACCCACCCCACCCTGCCACAGCCCCCCTCGCCTCCTCTGCCGATCCTCCCGCACCCACCCACAGGTCTCCTCTGCCAATCCACCCACCCACCCAGCCTCGCACGCCCTTGCCAACTCTGTCGAT